CCCCAGTTCTTTCTCTTCCTCCATTAGTTCTTTGAAAACAATGTTTAAGAATCATCCTACTCCACCGCTAAGTCCAAAGGAAGGGAAAGAACTGGTAGATAGCTACTCAAGTAGAGAAAAAAGTTCTGAAACAAAAAACATTAGTTCTAGAGCAAAAGGAAACTGACCTACCTATAATGCTACAGATCTTTCCGCATTTTTAATTTGATATATATGAGAGCTCACAAACCCGTTCCCAGCCTTAAAGTACACAAAGATGCAGTACTTTCAAGGCGTTTTGGGTGCTTATTGAAAAAGTCACATTTAAAATCAGAATTGTCCTTTTCCCACTTGAAAACAAAATGAAAAAAGCTTTTGAAAACTTTCTGTAATTGAGGGTGCAGGGGAAGCAGGAAAGAGCAAGAAAAAGAACAAGGAAGGGGAAGAAAAGTAAATCACTTCTCTTTTGCGCCACGGAAAAAAACAGCACATGCTCGGTTGTATTTGGCACCCAGTTTACAGCCCAGCAATCTAAGTCTATGAACTTAAGCCTTCATGGATGAGTGCATCAATTGGTCTTTGAATGAGCGGATAGCATTACTCAATTAACTTTGAGGCTAGCCCTTTCATGAAGTATAGTTAGCTGTGGCACACAGTATTGCAGTTCCAAAGTGAGAATGTCAACTGTGAAACTAAATTTACAATTTCAGTTGTCTTTCTATCAGCCCCTTCCACAGTTACTACAGACTTGAATAATATGAACGCAGGAAGCATTTAAATAAAAAATGTGTGTTTTCTAGGTTTATTGGCAGGTCTTATCGCTTTAATTACTTTGAGCCTGTCAAAACATAGGTAGACGCTCACAAGTCAGAAAATCCATGCCCTGAATGCCACATTATCAGTCGTTTCACTTCAGCCAGTGAAGGTAAATGTTTGCTCTGCTGGGGCAGGAGAAGATAGAAAGGGGTGGGAAATTGTGGCCTTATACTTTGCAGCACCCCCCCCACACACACACACACATCCTCAACCATGTTGTCCCTAAACCAGAAAGCTTGCTTGAGGACAGAATTGCAAGGTAAAATTAGATAAAAGGAAGAGGAATCCTCCCAATACAACAGATCATGTAAATACCACCATATACACACACACACTCACACACACATACACACACCCCTCACATGTTTTATCAGCTCTGTTAAGGAATTAGGACAGTATTAAATTTTGCCCATGCTGACACTTCTACAGAACCAAAAAGTTCTGGTAAATGTTAGATTTTCTTTTAAACATTTTTAGAAGGCTTATGTACTACCTGGGCGTAGGAAGCCATCTGCCACATCCCAGAAGGACTTTCAAATTTAAGGCTGTTAATGATGACACTCACATATTTCTGGCCAATTTCCCAAGATCAAATATAAGACACAAGAACTATTGTTATGATCACCAGTGGTCAAGGTGTCATCAATATTAACCTAACTTTGGGATCCAGAAAGAGAGATGAATAAAAAAAGTGTGTGTGTGTTAAGGGTATGGAATATACAGTTTTCACTTGATAAGTTGTCTGTCTTTTAGTGAAAAACAACATATCCACTTGAATGTTAGACATTTTTTATTTGTATGTTTTCACCAGAGAACTTACAAATTAAAATAAACATATCTATTTTTTTTAAATAAGCATATCTTAAAAAATTATAATATTTGAGCTTTTGCTATGTGCTAGTTGCTGTCCCAAGACACTTACATGTAATAGGGCATTCAATCTTAGTAGCAACTGAGATAGGTACTTCTAGATGCTTTTCATAGTTGAAGAAATTGAAAAGTTAAGTAACTTGCCAAAGTTGCCAAGTTCACACAGCTAACTAGCAGGTGGAATCAGGAGTCACACATCACAGTCAGCAGGTAGAATTGGGAGTCACACATCACAGTCTGATGTCAGAGCTCACTCTCTCAACTGCAAGCTATATCACTGTCTATTAGCAAATGAACAATATGTTTTTGTTTTTGTTTTCACTCCAATTCCAATTTGGTATTGAATGTGAGGAGAAGCAGAGGGGACGGTAAGACTTGAAGCCTCTGAAACAAGTCACATAGACCCAAGTCACCTACGAGATGCTCAGTTTTCAAGATCTCAAGCCGGCCCCCTGAGGGGTGATTCTCCTACAGAGTGTGTAGAGAGAAGTTCAAGTGTGTGTGCCCATGGGAAGATCATGGCCAGTCCTGGGAGACATTTGAGTAAGTGAGGAACTGCAGATACATTCTAACAGACACACTTTCTTGCAGACTTAAGCAAAAGTTTCTTGTAAGACTGAGACAGTCTCTAGAATAGCACGTAGAAAGGTAAATGCCTGGAACAATGATTAGGCACAGATATCATCGAACCATATTGATAAAAAATTAGAATAAACACAAATTCAATGTTACTACAATCTACTTTTAAAATTGGTAGTTATGGAGTCGTCAGTCTACCCAACTATGGAAAAAGGTCTCAGAATTGTCTCCTGTGTGTAAGTCAAACCAGTGCTACATTTAAAATGTGAGGTGTGGTTACAGGTCTCAGGAAAACAGCCTAATGTTGAAATAGGAAAACACTGTCAGTCCGTAAGTAACAGACAAAAAGGCAATTGTTAAAGGTATGTAGTCTGTCATTGTCATTTTCATCTAAAGGAAAATAAACACAAATGGTGGAATGCAAGTATTTAAGGTAGATAAAGAAACCAGCCCAAAGCAGACTCATTCATCAGGAATCATAGGATTTTAGAGATGGAAAGGGTCTTCGTGAGCAATTTCAACCTCTGCATTTTATATAAAATGAAGCTAAGGTCAGCAGGATTTAATCTTCGTGGGCAGATGTGATCTTTAGCGCTGGGTGCAAGAACCCATCCTTAGGGAGAATGGGGGGAGGATGGTGGTAGGACCCCGCAAGCTCTGACTTTTGAGAGGCGGGCAGGGAGAGTAGCCCATGCAGGCAGCTGGTGAGGAGCAGGGGAGAGGTAACATAAAAGCCACAGGGTGTGACGGCACGGGAGCCTGAGAAAGAGGGATTTTAGGAAAGAATAAGTGGGTGCAGTGAACGGTATTATAAAAAGAGATCTAAGAAGATCAGAACTGGAAAATGCTCATTAGATCTGCTAGTCATTGATGATCTTAGCTAAAGCATTTTCAACAGCATAGTTACGAGGAAGATGGCCATGTTTTAAGCAATGAATGGGAGATCTTCAAAAAATGTTACAACAGTAAGGGCAGAAACCATATTTGACAAATGTGAAGAAAAGAGAAGGATGAAGCAGTGCCCAAGCATCACTTAAAAAAAACAGGCAAGAATGAGCAGAGTAAGTGAAACAACTGGGGGGAGGCCAGGGCTGAAGCTCAGCCTGAGGGGTCAGGCTTGACAGGAGGAGTGGGAGGGGGGTCCCCAACCTGCTCTGCAGTGGTGAAGGTGAGAAAGGATGGATCTGCACGCAGCTAAGTTATAATTTTGTGTGCTTAACTTTTTAAGCCAGGCGCACTTTGTAAGGTTTTAAAGAAAATCCTTTGTGTTTATTGCTTATGGTGAGTCTGGAATGAATGAATAATAAATGGCTCAGGCCTAGACCCTTCACTCCCAAGGACTTGGACAAGCTATTCTTGGCTATTCTTGGCTGTGCATGCCTTCCCTCACACTCCCATCCCTTCATCCTCCCCTCACGGAACAGTTTCCTCATTCTCCAGATCCTTCCACCAGCTACAGAAATTAAGTTCTCACGCCATTAGGAAGCACTAAAGAGATTAACAGGGAGGAGTTCAACTATATCTATGATCTTGTGAAGGCTGGCAGTTTCTTAGCCTTGCCAACTATCTATTTTCCTTGCTTGGTTTCTGCCAGAGGCAAGAGCAAACAGCAAATAGAAGAAAAGGGTGGTAGCAGGAAAGCGCATTCTTGAGAAAATTAAAAGATGAGAGAGAGAGAGAGAATAGGAAAGATTACTGTTAAAATTAAACCAGAGAGCAGGTTAGCAATGAGAGGTTGGTCACAGAATTAAAAAGTGCTTATGTGTGTTTATTTAAGATTATGTGGATTACCTGTTATATTGGATTATCCAGTTTATTTCCAAATAGTTTCCCTGTACAAACACACCTACTAGATATCTGTGTGAGTCCTTTCCTGACAACCAAAAGTTCTGTGTGCAAAGTCAATGAAAGTTCCTTCCTCCAGCAGGAGACCAAGGCAAAATGTTGTCCTGAAAAATACCCTGCCCCTGACATTTTAGCAACATCGACCATAGCATTCTTTAATTATAAAATTTAAGACATACTTTTCCCATCGCATATTAGATACATTTTTCACTTCTGCCATTCCACCCTTAATCTTAAAGGTCTGCTAACCTTTTCCTCAGACAGGGAATGGAAAAGCCTCAGAATTATTGATGTTAGCCAGAATTTGCTAATTTGAAATTCACCAGAGAGGCACTGGCAATAACTGTTTAGCTTGAGGGCATGCACTCCTACTAAATTTTCAGGAGTCCTCAGATTTTAGAGGCCTTGGCCAATAATGCAACTCTGTTCCTGATGAAGATATATTCATTCAACAAGCTTTTATTAAGCACCCAACACATGCTTGACACTGGGCTGTTTATAAAACCAGCCCCTCGGGATCTCATATAGAAAGAAAAGAACAATTTTTGTCTAAATTTTCACAATCTGATTTTTTGAAGGTTTTCAGTATCATTTTTTCAGAATCCTGAGATCAATCCTGAGATCAATGGGTATAGACCCACGGCCTGTGTGTTATCTGCAAAGATATTTTATCATAAATACGCCAAAGGCACATTAAAGTTGATTGGACAAAATGAAAGTCCTAGATAAAGAGGAAGAGACTTCATCGAAAAAAAAAATCAACAAATGAGAATATGAGAAATGCTAACTACCCCACTGTCTAATCACAAAAGGCAATCAACAAGGAAGGGAGTGCGTGTGCTCGCAGAAGCTCACGCATGCACACACACGTGCGTGCACACACACTTCAACAACCACAACAAAGATCTTACCTGACTTGCCCACGCCTGCGCTCCCAAATATTGCCAGCTTGACCTCTGCACTTTTAGCCATGATGGGTGTTGGTAGACGATTTACTTTTGTTAATACTAAAACACTGAACAAATCTTTTTGGTTCCGGCCTTTGGGTTCACCATATCATTATAAATCTTGGAAGACTCCACAATCCTTAAAAAACAGATTTGAGAATTCATAAGTGACCAGAAAATGAATTAATGTTTATTAGGTATCTATCATCTATCATATACCAGGCACCATTCACTTTATTAACATTTTCTAATTTGATCTTTACCACGATCTTGTGAGAGGGGGTATAGTAATTTTTTGTAAATAATGTAACTAATAAATTCTAGATTTGAGTTTAGATATGCTTGGTTCAAAACATGTGCATTTCACATAACAGCATTTTCAAAAGTACTTCCTTGAGAAATATTTTCATAAAGAACATTGATTCTTGGCAGCAATTGAAATAAATACTGGAAGTATGTCTTTACCACCTGTCTGTAAACATTCAATGTGAGATGTGATAGAGTCACTTTTGGATCTCTTTATTTCCCTTTGGTTTGAACACTGTGCATTCATATTACTCAACTCCACTGTAACACAATTCAGTTTTGCATTTCAAGATTAAATTTTATGTCAAGTCACACTAGATCACATGATCAAGTCATATGACACACTTGTTCCAGGAAACTCTATATAATACCCAGATTATATTTTAGATTTTGCTGGACACAATGGCCTAGCATACAAAAGATAAAAGCTGTACTCCAAATTTTGATTCCTTTCCTATGACAGCATCAAGTAAATTAATTTAAAGTATTGTGCTACCACTTGGTAATTAACATTATGTACAATGTAAGTATACTTGAGTTGGTGCTACAGGAAAATGATGCCTCTATGCACGGAAACATAAACTTAGAAAGTGCCTTGTG